AAAAAAAAAAGTTCCTAAGATTGAACGACCATGAAGGTGAGGATTTCGACAACGATTTCTTGCCCGTTAGCGGTGGAGGCGTTCCAAGCTAGCCAGGTAATGTGTATATCATGCCGTGAACCCCCGCAAAGGAGGGTGCATTGCTCTGTCCCGTTTTTCCCTCAACCAGATGTCCACTGAAGAAAGGACACTGTGATGAATATAACGGGAGGACGTAAACCTCAGGAAGGGGGCAAAGAAGGTGGAAGTGGGAAGGACAACACAGTCGCGAAGGGCGGGATGAGGGGAAGAGGGAAAGGGAATCTGGAACAACGATCCACAAAATCAGCACCATCCATCATCGACAACGGGTATCTTACAATTAGATGATCGGCGAGGGCTTGAGATACAAAACACAAGAGAGCGGTGTTGGAATGCTTGAGGCAGGTGGAAGGCGATGCGATGCTGGGCGGATGGAAAAACAGTCGGGCACGGGACAAAGGACGGGATGGTGGTACAATGCTGCCGAGGAGCAGCGACGGATCACGGAATCGGGCAAGCCGCGGCTTCACTTGCGGCGGTTCTGCTGCATGCCGAGGATCTGGACCATGCGGACAAAGATGTTGATAAAGTCGAGCTCGAGGCTGATCGACTCGGCGAGCGGGTCGCCCTGCGTGTATCCGGCGCGCACCATCTGGGCGTGCTTGAGGATCCTCTGCGTGTCGTACAGCACAAACGCACCAAACACGGCCAGACCGCCATAGAGCGACAGCGCCTCGGTGGCCGCGAGCGTGCGGAAGGCGGTGCGCGGCAGGATCATGGGGGCCAGCGACGAGAGCGCCACAATGGTGACACCGGCGAGCAGCGGGCCGCCCATCCAGAGGTACTTGTCCTCCTTGGCCGTCGCGCCGACGTAGCAGAGCGAGCCGACGAGACCGGCGGTGTAGAGCGCCGCACGCGACAGCACCGCAGGGTTGAGGAAGAGCAGCGGGCTCAACACGGCGGCCTGCGAAGCGTTGAAGAGCAGCCACGACGGCACCTTCATCGGATGACCGGGGGGCAGCGAGGTCGCACCGATCATGCCGCCGATACTAGCAACGAGGCCGACGCCGAGCACGAGCCAGGGGTTCGCCATCATTACGCGCTGCGAGACGCCGTAGCGGTGGAGACCCACGGCGGCAGCACCGGTGAGGGTGAGGCCGCCGGCGAGGTACATGAAGGTGCTGTGCAGGTAGCTTGCCTCGACGGGATGCAACGAGTCGCGCGTTTCACGGTTGAAGAACATGTTGGCGGCGAACGCCGTGCCGCCGATGATGCCGAGGCTGGTCAGGGCGCGAGTCCAGCCGCCCGGCTGCGAGATGCTGGTGGGCGCATCTGCTGCGGGCGCAGCGTGGGGCGCAGCGAAGGCGAATCGGCCGCCCGAGCCACTGCCGCCGTTGGGGCGGAAGGGGCTGGTTCGAACTCCTCGGACCTGCGTCTGTGCGTTGGGCAACGACTTGGGCGCACCAAGCTGCGAACGAGCCGTGGACGCAAGGGTGGAGTTGGCGCCCTTGGCCGCGGACGAAAGCGGGCGCCATGGCTGCACGGAGGCAGAGTTGCGACCTGTGGCGGCGATCGAGGACGATGCCGAAGACCGGGCGACGAGCAGCGAGCTGTGCAGCGAGCGCTGCAGTGTCTGGAAGGATGGCCTCAACATTGGGCGAGGAAAGGCGAGAAGCGCCAGCCTACTTGCCTGGTGTGAGTTGGGTTGTGAGTTGGAAGTGGGGAGGAGAACGTTCAAGGGAGGGGCAAAAGCTGGGATGGAGGGATAAAGCAGACGGCACGGGTCTGCGCACGTTTCGTGAGGCTGGCTGACGAGGGGCAGAGTCGTCGCCGTGCGTTCTTCATATAGGCCCGAGTCTTTGCCTGAATGACTGAGCTGCCAGTCTGCTGAGCTGTTGCAGAGCGAGTTTTTGCGAGCGGACCTCCACCTGGCGACCAATCAGTCCGCCGCTCTTTGTGGAGCTGCTGCGGATGACGGAACGCCGCACGCCTAGCAATTTCCATTTTTTTCAGCTCTTCGACAGAGCTGCAGAGCCGATCACAAAGCCATGCGAGCAGCCTGGGTCTGATTGACTCGTGCGAAAAAAAGGAAGGCTTCAACTGTGCCGCGCTCCGTCCGTCCACGGTGCATGCGCTGCTGTGCAGGTTTTTTTTGGCTCAAGCTTCAACCCTCCTCTGCACATACGCACGAAGCGGCGCACAAACGCGCCACACGCAATCCGAACGCACACTTGTTCCCTCTCTCTGTCGGATCGAGTGCCGATATCTATGCGAATACAACGTACACCCAAGTGAAGGGACACTGCCTTCCTCTCCTCAGCGGCAGGGAGGGCCTGGTGACACTGCACTTCGAGCAAACTGGACACCCAGGCTGTGCGCTGTGCGTTGTGCGTTGATTTCAGTTTTAAACCTGAGCTGCGAGGTTTTTCTTCTTCCTCCTCACGCGCACGAGGACGCACGAAGACAAAAAATTCCAACAAAAAAAAAGTGTTCTTTTCGCAGAGAGACGCACGCTTGCAAGCAACTTTTTTTTTTCCCACTTCGGTCTCAGGCTCGGTCTCGGTCTGTCGCGAGGTGCGCTGCCTCGAGAACACACTTTCTTCTTGAAGCTCGAGTGCGGAAATCATACGTACCCGCACCTCATCCGCACCCATCCTTCCTTCCAATCCTCATCCTCCCCTTCTTCCTTGTCTCCATCCCTCGTCTATCCACCCGCGGATACCATCGAGGTTCTCTCTCATCCACCCCTCACCGCATTGCGACACGTGCCTCCTTACGCGGGCACCCTCTCGCAAGCTAGGCGTGTCATCACCGCGTCTTCGTTCGCCGACATCCCATCTGCGAGCCTCTTCTCTTCCACACACTCACAAGTGCTGAGCTAGACCGAAGCGGGTCGGCCGTACTTGTCGCCATCATGGATGTAAGTCTCGCTCGCGTGCTGCCCTGCCTCCTCCCCCGACGCTACTCTCGAGAGCTACGTACTCATCAGCTGCTTCTCCGCTTTCCTTCTCTACCAACAGCCCTCCTTCGTGCAGGGGCTGCACGAGCTCCTCAAGCAGAGCAACGTCCCAGACACCAACACCGTCAAGGCTGCCACCGATGCTCTCCAGAACAACTACTACAAGAACCCGCAGTGCGTGCCTGCGCTCTTCGAGATCCTCGCCACCTCGCCCGACCTCGCCGTTCGTCAGCTCGCCGCTGTCGAGCTCCGCAAGCGTCTCGCAAAGAGCGGCGGCAAGGTCTGGAACAAGCAGCCTGTAGACGTCCGCAACGGCATCAAGTCCAAGCTCCTCGAGGTCGTCACCAACGAGCAGGCCGCCCCCGTCCGCAACTCCATCGCCCGCGTCATCTCCGAGATCGCCAAGCGTGAGCTGCCCCTCGGCACGTGGCCCGACCTCCTCCCCTTCCTCTTCAACGCCGCCGACTCGCCCAACGCCACCCACAGGCAAGTCTCGCTCTTTGTCTTCTACACCGTCCTCGAGACCTTCGTCGACGGCGGCGAGGCCCTCGACAAGCACCTGCCCCAGATCATGCAGCTCTTCGCCAAGAGCCTCCAGGACCCCGAGAGCATCGAGGTGCGCGTCACCACCGTCCGTGCCCTCGGCAAGGTCGCCCAGAACCTCGAGAGCGACGCCTCGGCCGACCTCGCCGCCATGCAGTCCGCCGTGCCCCAGATGGTCGGCGTGCTCAACCAGTGTCTCGAGCAGAGCAACCAGGACGGCGTCCGCCAGATCCTCGACGTGCTCGAGGAGATCTGCATGCTCGAGGTGCCCATCATCTCCAACCACATCGCAGAGCTCATCGACTTTTTCCTCGCCAACGGCGCCAACACCGAGCACGAGGAGGACCTCCGCCTCATGTGCCTCAACTCGCTCATCTGGATTTGCTCCTACAAGCGCTCCAAGGTGCAGAGCCTCGGCCTCGCCAAGCACATGATCGCCCGCCTCATGCCCATCGCCGTCGAGGAGGACTCGGACGACGTCGACGAGGACTCGCCCTCGCGTCTCGCCCTCCGCGTCATCGACGGTCTCGCCACCGAGCTGCCCCCCAGCCACGTCTTCCCTCCCTTGCTCGAGCAGATGCAGGCCTACATGGCCAACCCCGACCCGCACCACCGCAAGGCCGCCATGATGGCCTTTGGTGTCTCCGTCGAGGGCTGCTCCGAGTACATCCGCCCCCACATGAACGACCTCTGGCCCTTCGTCGAGGCCGGTCTCAAGGACGGCGACGCCGTCGTCCGCAAGGCCGCCTGCGTCGCGCTCGGCTGCCTTTGCGAGATGCTCGAGGAGGAGTGCGCTGCCAAGCACGCCACGCTTCTGCCCGTCATCATGGAGCTCGTCAACGACCCTGCCACTCAGCGATCTGCCTGCACCGCCCTCGACTCGCTCCTCGAGGTCATGGGTGCCGACATCTCGCAGTACCTCCCCGCCATCATGGAGCGCCTCGCTGGCCTCCTCGAGACCGCTCCGCTCCCCGTCAAGGCCACCGTCACGGGTGCCATCGGCAGTGCTGCCCACGCCTCCAAGGAGGGCTTCCTGCCTTACTTTGACCAGACCATGCAGCGCATCAAGCCCTTCCTCACGCTCACCGAGGAGGGCGATGCGATGGACCTGCGAGGCATCACCACCGACACCGTCGGCACCTTTGCCGAGGCTGTCGGCAAGGAGGCTTTCCGTCCTTACTTCCAGGACCTCATGAAGCTCGCCTTCGAGGGCATGGACCTCAACAACCCGCGCCTGCGCGAGTGCAGCTTCATCTTCTTCGCCGTCATGTCGCGCGTGTTTGGCGAGGAGTTCACTCCCTTCCTGCCCCATGTCGTGCCGCGTCTCATCCACTCGTGCCAGCAGTCCGAGCACGACCCCGTCCCCGGCGCCTCGGGCGACGGCACCGTCAACGGCATCGGCATCCCCGGCCTCAACGCCGGTGGCGACGACGACGACGACGATGGCTTTGTCGACATTGACGAGCTCAACGACGCCTTCCTCAACGTCAACTCGGCCATCGCCATCGAGAAGGAGGTGGCTGCCGACTCGTTGGGCGAGATTTTTGCACACACCAAGTCGGGCTTCCTGCCTTACATCCAGGAGTCGGTCGAGCAGCTGGTGATCCTGCTCGAGCACTTCTACCAGGGCATCCGCAAGAGCGCCGTCTCTGCGCTCTTTACGTTCATCAACACGCTCAACGAGCTGAGCAACCCGCAGCCGTGGCAGGCTGGCGTGCAGGTCAAGGTGCCGCTCAACGCCGACGTGCAGAAGCTCGTCAACGCCGTCATCCCTGCCGTCATGGAGATGTGGGAGAGCGAAGATGACCGGTAAGTTTCTCTTCTTATACCCGATTGCCCAGATACCCCATGAGCATACGCATACGCACACGTGCCGAGACAGCCGCAATCGCAGCAGCAGCAGCAGCAGCAGCAGC